ACACACACACACACACACACACACAAATAAATAAATATTTTTTAAAAAACAATCACAGAAACAAAAAGCAAAGAGTATGGTTACCTCCATGGGCACAGTTAGACCTTGCAGTCTTTACCTTAAAATATTTAAACCCACTTGCAAAAAGTAAATACACTCCATCAGAGATTCATTGGCAAAAGGACAAACGGACAACACACCTAGCGTACAAGTCCTATGAGATGTCCAAACGAAAAATTGGGATGGCTCAGTGCAGTTAATCATATGGTGTGATGGATTGACATCTGGTGGTCAACTTGTAATGCCCAGCTGAACTGAACCAGCATAGTGCTGGGTGTGGGAAGCCCACCTGAGGATTGTTGCCGACAACATAAGAGGCAGAACTGGAGAAAAGCCACTTCAAGCTGTTGGGAAGTTGTTTGGAGGCTGAAGCTGCTGGAAGCTGTTAGGGACAGTGGTTTTCCTGGAGGAGCTTATCATGTTGGCTTTCCTGATAAACTTAGCTGTTATCATCAAAGGAACTCAAGACCTCATTTTAGCTGAGAATGGCTAGGGTTCAATTTGGGGGAGCTCTGGTTCTCATCTTGAGTATCGCTTCCTGGCTTAGAAATGGAAGTGGGTGCACAGCTCTTGTTGCACTGGCTTTCCTGATGGGAACTCAGCTTTCCTCATTGTTGGATGAGCTTGGGACCTCACTGTTGCTAAGGATGGCTGTACTATTTCTCAGGGGAGCTCTGGTTGTTAAGAGTTTTGCTTCCTGGCTCCAACTCAGATCCCTCAGCCTTCTAGGACAGATTCTTCATCCTGCTGGCACAGACTTTCTAACTTTCACCACTGACCTCTGGGCCTTCCCAGAGAAGATCCGTGAAACAGGACTTTATGAGACACTGGCATGAGCTCTACGCCTCCAGATGGACTCGGGAGGCACTGTTATGGGGTCTAGGTCTTCACCTGGACTCATGCAGGACATTACCATGGGATCTAGGCCCTCAGCTGGATTCTTTGGTCTTTAGTACGTGGGCAGATTTCCTGCACTCTTTGCATATGATTCTTCAGATAGTCCATTATAAAATTATCTTATAAAATTTGTGTCCTGCATTGTATTGTTACCTTTGCAAAACCCCAAATTATGACACAATGGGGATGAGGGTATGCTTGTGAGTTAACAGGTCATGGAACACCACCGTGGGTGCCATGTTGGAATGTTTGACCATGGAAAGAGGAAATCCCCAAACCCACAGTGGAGTGTGCTGCCACCAGACCCACCTCAGCCACTGATGACCACTCAAGTGGCAAGGCCAATGACATGCAACCAAGTAAAGAAAACAACCCAGGAGGCTAAAAAGTTGGTGACAATACAGGACTTACCACATACCCCCAAAATATGTCCACTGCTATGACAGCACTTCTACTGCAAGAGATATCAAGTCAGGTGATGCCTAGACGTTATCTAACCTCAAGTTGTATTATTTTAACTTTTATAATTACAAAACTAAAAAGGGGTACTATTGGGGACCAGGTTATGTGACAAGGGTCCCATGGCGCCAAAGCCAGTGTGACCTGCTTTAGGAACAAAAAAAAG